TAAAGGTGGTTAAGAAAAAAAACAATTGAATTGGTTAAGGACAGTAAGCAGGATTACTTAGTAAAAGGCTGATCAGTGTTTCCATACACACAGTATAGCTACCCACTGTAGAAATAATAAAGCCAGGCCCTCTGTTTGTTTGTCAGTTTTGAAGTTGTCAGATAGCCAGTGTCTTATTTGGAAATAATTGTCAAATATTCCTCCTATAGAAGAGAAATGGTGACATTTTTTTAACAAATTGTTTTCACTGACACTGAAATATATTTAGAAGTTGCAGCCTTACTTGTATTGAATCATATTATATACTGACACTTTTTATACTTTTAGAGGTGAAACAAGAACTCATTTAATTGATAAGTAATGGTTTGAGCAAACAAAAAATCAATAGTTTCAGCTTCTCAGTGGCAATATACCAACGTGGGCATAGATGATTGTCATTTAGTCACGATTTTCTTTCATTTCACAGGTTAAATGGTTGATCAGTTAATCAGGAAAATAGTCAGAGATGAAAATGCTTGGTGATTGCATTGTGTACATTTGTGTATCTGAATTATTTGAGGGCTCTAAGTAATATTTAGATACAGACTGGCTTTGAAAAGACAGGCCGCTAGTGGTATATGCAAAGTTAAAGAGGGTTTTCTTCAGTGCTGAGTGTCTTTTTTTCAACTAACAGATTGTTTTTGACCACAGGGTCACCACTGCTGAGCTGGTCTGGTCAGGAATTTAATTACACACACACATCCCTCATCCCTCATCTAAGGGAAGCTCACTTCTATTTCCTGTTCTTTTCAAAGACAGGGAATGATGGAAACAGGGAGGGATTAAGAGAAAATGAAGGGCAAACAATACGATGAGCTTTGTGTTGCTGTGCTGGTGGTGGGCTAATCCCTGTCACAGACACCCCATTTAGTTTTGTTGCCTCTCTATTTATGTGTATACTTGTAATTAACTTTTTGCGTGTGCATATATGTGCCCCTCTTGAGGTTTAGAGTGGCCCAAATTTATGTGTGGTCTGTTAATTTCCTCTTTGGCTCGGAGGTGGAAATTAAGGGAGGGTGGGCGTTGTTTGGGTTAGATTTGGACAGAGGAGTAGGCATGGTGTGGGAGCAGCTCACTCATAATTTCTCAGTGGGATCAGGGATGTATGCCATGTTGTGATGGGATAGGGGGTAGGCTTTAGCTCAGTGTTGAGTTTTGTCCAAAGCGCTGCGAGCGTTGGCTGTGAGTGTGGGACAGGACTGAAACCATGTGGGTGTCTGTAAGGAGCACAGCTATGACACAGGCAACTTTGGCAGGGTGCATAAGTTAGGAGGACCTAGAGGATACTAGAGACTGTCGTTCAGTAAGCATCCTTCCTGATGAAGTATCCTTGAGTAAGACATGAAGCACTGAACTTGCAGCCTGGCCTCTGGGGAACCTAAAAGAGTGTTCTTACATTGCACAACTCCTGTCCAGTACACCACGCTTTATAAACCAAACATTTTTGACTGTCTTGGGGTGGTGCAAGATAACCAATGGTATTTGTTGAGAAATTGCTGGGCAGTGTATCTTATTTATTACAGTAATTTTGTGGTTGGGGTTTTTGAATATTCACTCCGCGACTGGTGCCGGTTATGTGTAAAGTTGCATTTCTTCTAAAAAATATTTCCGCAAGAATGCCAGCTGAGTGGAATGCAATTTGCCAAATCCCAAATGTGAAATCCTGATCTATCACTTAATGTTCACCAGCAGCCCGGCCCTCACACAAACCCATTTGTCACCATCAGATCAGAGTTGTCGTTGCTTAGATCAAGGCAGAGAGGCTGTTAGGTCACAGATGGGCAGGTGATCCTAAAAACAGGCGTTGATGAGCTGTAAAATCACATGACTTGTAAAACTATAGCCCCAAGGGAAAACGGCCACCAAACATCTGTGGAGTCCCATCCAAAATAAATCTCTGGGTCAGTCATAGGATTAGAATTACGGGCCACTTGCATTCATGTGAGACATGTCTGCTATTTTCTGCTTCCCCTCTGGAATTTAGCTGTGGTCAGCAGCAGCAGGAGTTTGTTTTCCCACCTGGACACCGTTGGCTATCATTTATCTCTTTTGTCTCTCTCAGAACTGTCATACGGCAGTGATAATGTCTTCCTCAGCCTCCCCCTTCTCTCATCCTCCCATTTCTTGTCTGTGTAATTTTTTCTGTGGAATAGTGTAGGTGCTGATGTAACCGTGTGAAATGCCAGCTAACTCTTTGCATGGTTAGTATCAGTTGACGTACAGTAAGGCTGTGGCTAGGAATTTTCTGATTTTGTGCGCAATTCTGTGCAACTGAAGTCTCATACTAGTAAACAATACGCTTTGGGAAGTGAAAACTCGTGGCAAACAGCATGATGTTGAATTAGCCTGTTGATCTGACATTGTCTTGTGTTTGTACTGTCTTCCTGTTCTTGTTTGGTTTCCTTTGGTTATTTTTGTGACAGACTGCTTTGTCTGCATGGGAGTGTTTCATTTCTACCCAGTTCTTCAGCTTCTCACTGTACCTCGGTTCTTCTTTGTCTTTCTTTTCTTTTATGTCCATTGGATGCAGGTTTCTCTCTTGTTGGTTGTAGCTAGGGGCTGTATTTGCCAAGAGAGAAGCAAAGACCTGCCTTTGTGTATAGGAAACAGAGCAGTGATACATTTTTGCTGTGTGTATACAGCTGCCTAGCTATATAGACAATAGAGGAGCTGTCAGTCACAATATCAGGGGAAATGGAGTAGGTCTGTTCTAGAGCTCGGGCCAACCTAAATGGTGTGTATTATTGTTTGAAAGTTTTTTTTGTTTTGCCTTTCCCTCTTTTCCCTCTGTTGGTTTCTCCTCACTCACCAAGCATTGTTGTAATTTGAGATAAAAGGGTGTGTCTACAGTTTCGTCTGACCCATTGGTCTGTCATGATTCATTGTGGTAAACTTTATCCAGTGACTGCTATCATTAAGCTCTAACTAAAAGGGAGTTCCTGCATTTGTAAAGAGGCCAGCTACAGCATAGAGTACATTTGAAAACTAGAACTACTAAAGTAAAGAAGGACAGGGAATAAAGATGGATATATCAGATGTGGTAAATTTATTAACTACCACACTGATGGTTTGAATCAGAGGTTTATACTCCCACAGAGGCAGCCATTGAAATTACTGCATTCTTCCAGTCAAGTTGTTTTGACAGTGCTCATCTCGTGAGTCATGTCTGTCTGTGCCGTTTTCCACTGAAAAAAGTTGTTGTTTTTTTCTACTTACAAACATGAAAGTCAACAACTCAAATCAGCTGATCAGAGTTTTCTCTTTGTTCAAACCTTGGGAGGGAAAATCTGTGTCAGCCACAGCAGGAACAGATCATTCCTGTAGCCTGGTCCCAAATACTTACAAATGCCACATGTAGTACCAATTGTACTTGTGGTATAATAGTACATTATACCACAATAGTAGATTATACTAATAGAAGAGTATAAGTCTGGAGAAATACAATTTGTTTCTGTAGCATAACACCACATGACTACTGCTGAAGGAAGAGAGTTAGCAGAAATATGAGGAATATGTTTTAGACAACAGCTTTGTTTAATGCATCATATGGCATAGAAAGCAGAGCTTGTTGCTTCATTAGTTACAGTTGGGACAACAGCTGGAGGAGGTGAAACTTGTGATGTTTTTGTCCCACGATTAATGTGAAATAAACTGCCTGTTCAGTTACTCTCTTCTTTGTGCCTATGGGTGACAC